TTGTGTTCAGCAAAGTCTCCTGAGTAAAACAGTACCCCCCATGTACAGGTTTTATAGTATTTTTGAAAGTTACAAGGTCAAATATATGGGTTAAATATTTTTACATTGAAAATGGCCAGGTTGGTTACGTTGCCTTTGAGAGCGTATGGTAGCCCAGGAATGAGAATTACCCCCATGATGGCATACCATTTGCAAAAGAAGACAACCCAAGGTATTGCAAATGGGGTATGTCCAGTCTTTTTTAGTAACCACTTGGTCACAAACACTGGCCAAAATTAGCGTTCAATTTAGTTTTTTTACTTTTTTCACACACAAACAAATATGAATACTTACTTTGGCCAGTGTTTTCGACTAAGTGGCTACTAAAAAAGACTGGACATACCCCATATTGAATACCCTGGGTTGTCTACTTTAAAACAAATATGTACATGTGGGGTGTTATTCAGATCTTTATGACAGATAATAGTGTTACAATGTCACTATTGATAAATTTAAAAAATTTATGTTTTGAAACCGCAATATTCTACTTGTACCTATAGCCCTATAACATGCAAAAAAAAAAGCAAAAAAGCATGTAAACACGGGGTATTTTGAATCTATTTAGCAGTTTTTTTAATTCGCTTTTGTAGATGAGTAAAAGATTTTTCAAGTAAAAGTAAAAAAACATGTATTTTTTTCAATTTTTCATCATATTTTTTTATTTTTTTTAAATTAAAATACATGAGATTATATAAATAATGGTATGTAAAGAAAGCCCCTTTTGTCCTGAAAAAAACAATATATAATTTGTATGGGAACAGTAAATGAGAGAGCGGAAAATTGCAGCCAAACACAAACACCACAAAAGTGTAAAAATATGTCTGGTCGCAAATGTACAACATCGCAAAAACAGTCCAGTCCTTAAGGGGTTAATTTGCTTTAGCTTTATTTATTTATTTTTTTGTTAGTACCTTGAGTTGTCTTTTGAAATTGTCCCTGTTTAATATTCGTAATTTAAACCATACTATACCATTATTTAATTTGACATCTTTCAGCCCAATGTGAAATTCCTACAGGATACCTGTGCCTCAATATGGAACAAGGTAAATGGTGCTTTGTGGATTCACAATTTCAATATCCCTCCAGATGAATACTTCCTAATTCCTCTGGGGGAAACTGTGTACTAAAGTACTAACTTGACTTCTTTGCTGTGCTTATTCCAGAGGGCCAATTGCAGTTTACTTTTCCTGAATGATTGTCTTGTTCCAAATTAGGCCTTACTATGGCCTGTATTGGATATGTAGATATCATACCCCATAACATGTCTGCAACTTTTTTATGGAAATTATGGCGACTGCATAACACATTGATTGCTCTCAGGATCAGTTCAAAATTGTAGGACAATAGACCCCACTTCTCGCACTAAGATAGCCTCTCAATATGGTGGTGATTATTTTGGAAGATATATTTATAGCCCTATTACAGCTGATCCAAAATAAGGTACATAATCTAAAACAAACAGGCAGAGAATTCTGCATCATTTTCATGTTTACTGTATAGAGCCCTTTCATTTGCAGTAGGTGTTACTATATTTTCATATGTTATCATGCTCCATTGAGATGCATTTTTTTTTCTAGCAAACGTTTACATTCCTCTAATTCATGTTGCTGCTTGCATCTGCACTTTTACTAGCTCTTTAATATTTTTATTTAAAAAAAATATATTTTTGGGGTGGGGCTTGATAGCCAAGATGGCCAGACGCGTTTCTACTTGGCTCTGACCTGTTAGTGCACAAAATCTGTCTTCACTGTTCAAAAGCTCCAGGATTTAAGCCACACGAGTGATCTGGCCTGACATGTACCAAGCGGGAACAAGATAATGCCTGATTTCAGCCAGTACTCTGCGCATTCCAGTCGTCCGACCAAGAGGCCTAGCATGCCTGGTGGCCCGGTGACCGGGGGAGGCGGCCGATCTCCCAACATAGGGCTAGCTCTCAACAGAGTTCACTCTAAGGCCCCACAATCCCCCCTCTGGACCGGTGCGGTGCCCACTGGAGAAACCTTACGTGCACTAACGGTATCACCTGCCTAGCCGATCACCGCATGGCGAGTCCAAGATGTCTGCCGAGCTTGAACATATACTACACTCGGAAGGTTAAACAATCCAAGCCTGGAAAGTGAGCTTTGAGGCCAGATTTGACAAGGTGTGTCAAGCTTTCTGGAAGAATATCCGTTGAAGAACCCCTACCACCACTGTTTGCAGAACAATCCTAAACCGGATTGCCAACACCATTCTGGGCTGGGGACCCACATGAAAGTTATGCCTGCCAGCCGGCTATACAGCCCAGAATCCCTCCTTAACCCGGAGCACCCTAAGGCTTGCAAACTGGCTGACCGGAGAAGGACTATTCCTGCTATTGTGGTGAAGTTCTGTTATGGACAGATGAATTAAAATAAAATGGCTATTTACTAATGTCTATTTATTCTGTGTTCACTATGTTAAAACTGGCTGCTAGAGTAAATATTCCCTTCGCCCCCTACAATGTGTTCAGTTGCTGTTTACTATGTAAATTCTTCATCCTGATAAGCATCCCCCTTCAAATCAAGCAAACCTTGTGTAAACAAAATTCCTATGTTAACAGCTCCCTTTACTAACTCCTCCCCCACTACCTTTGTGCCAGTTAAACAGCTATATGCCACGTATAGCTAAATGGAGGATCATTGGTTTAGAACTGATAGATACCACTCACTCCCCCTCCCATCGTGTATCCAAAAGTCTGTAATGATGACACTACATTCTGTAGGGAGGTTTAAACAAGAGCCCCCTTTCTCTGTTAACCAATTGGTGAATGTATACTGTATGTTTAAACTGTGACGTATTTTTGTTTTAAGAAGGAGCCCCCACTCCGGGGAATAAAGCATTCCTGAGTTTTTCACTGATCAGAAACTTTGTCTCCGGTGTGAATTACTTCTAGGGAAAGCGTGCACGCATTAATCAATCAATTTGGAAGGTGTAGATAGACAAATTATCAAAGTTTTCTTTGATCCAAAACAATTTGGGGGCTCGTCCGGGATGTGAGGGTTACGTTAATAAGGAAGCCGTAAAATCCCAGGACCGGAGAGGAGACCCCCAGAGATTGAAAAAAAAAAAGAGCCTGATCACCTCTGCATATGGTAAATGAGTAACTTACCTATATTTTCCATTCTTTGGAATTGGTCTGCACTCTGGGCCTTCACTCGGCTTCCTGTGGTTAACGTCAGACAGGTATATAGTATGCCCACATGTCCCCTTTTATATAGAACCTGTCACTTGTCTATCTACAGCCTGAGTCCTGAGTGTGAGTTTTATGTGTGAAAGTGTCTGTTTGAGAATCTGTTTTACTTTCTTGTGATTATTTAATTCAGGGTGCAAATATACCTGGAGTTTTTAGGCCAGATTATATTAATTAATATTTTAATATTAATTCTTGGCGTTTCCTTTGTTGTTTTTCATTTAAATTCAGGTGTGCAGAATAGCCCCTGGTGGTTAGTTTTTGTCCGATTAAGAATAGATCGTGGCGTTTCCTTTGTTGTTTTTCATTTAAATTCAGGTGTGCAGAATAGCCCCTGGTGGTTAGTTTTTGTCCGATTAAGAATAGATCGTGGCGTTTCCTTTGTTGTTTTTCATTTAAATTCAGGTGTGCAGAATAGCCCCTGGTGGTTAGTTTTTGTCCGATTAAGAATAGATCGTGGCGTTTCCTTTGTTGTTTTTCCTTTAAGTTCAGGCGTGCAGAATAGCCCCTGGAGGTTTAGTTTTTTGTCCGATTCATATTAAAAATAGATTGTGGCGATTCTTTTGTTGTTTTAATAAAAAACAACGAACAAAGAGTGAAGTTGTTGTATATGTGCTTGAGTGTTTCTGTGTGTGATTTGATTTATTATAAGCCGGCATTTATTTTAAGAACTTTGTGATTTAATTACATCTGTATTTTGTGCTTTTGTCTGTGTATGTCTTGTTGGGTACCATATATGTTAATTGTAATCTATACAATTTGTATCGTTACTCTCCTATTCTATCTTTTGTCCTAAGGAGAGCTGTGCTTAGGCAATCACATGGTTAAAAAACTTTGTGCTTGCAAGTCTTCCTCCCTCCTCCCCCCTCCTTCTTTGTTGCTTTCTCTTGCTCTGACTGCTATGAGTATTGGCTACAGGGGGGGGTGAATGGGTGAAATGCTTGTAAACTCAGTGAGGAATGTGAGGGAAACAAGGTATATTTGCTGGACGAATAACCTAGTTAGGAACTTTGTGTAATCTTGTATATGTTGTTAAGTAAGAGGTTATTGGCATGTTGGAATAAGGAAAGTTGGATTTTGTTGGAACAAATGAATTGTGGAATTCATAAATGATATTGCAGAGAAAAGTAAATTGCAGTTTGCATATAATAGCAGCTATTCAGATGCTGTATTGTGGCAATCTTTATACACACAATGTGAAATTGCCAATAGTGAAATTGACAAGAAATTGTTTGTTAATAAGAAAAAAAAAAAAGATCAGAAATTTTATGAAACTAGTCTGTACTTACAGTGCATTGATTTGTAAACGTAATGCAGGTCAAGACAATTTAGAATCATCAGAAAAAGAAGTAGATTTGAATGGGTTAACAGAAGACAAATCAGATTTAAATGAACAGTGTAACAATGTAACAGGGAGCACATGCTGTAAACAGTCAGAAACAGTCTGTGAATTAGAGGATAGAGTTGAACTAAGAAATGATCTTATTTGCCAGCTTAGAAATGAAGTTAAGCAAGTGTGTGTTAATACAAGAAAAATACAGACACAGAATCTAATCCCAGAACCAATAGATACTGAAAATGTATCCTCACAGAGTGATTTGCAGAAAATATAAATTTCAAGACAGAGCTGCAAAACTTAATTTGAAAATACACGAACAATTAATGAAAATTGTGAAATGTATTCCAGTTTATGACACGTCAGTGGATGCATTTACTAATGCTGGAATGTTTGAGTCAAATGTGGACAAATACAGCCTAAATGACGAACAAAGGAATAGATTGTTTAAAATATGGCTGTAGACTGACCACGCTTGTAAAATTTCAGGACAATGATAAAATAATATATGGAAATTAGGAGACAGACAAGCAATGCAGCGTAACACAGAAAGTTATAAGAATCAGATAACTTCAAGAGATATGATCAGTTTAGGGAATGAGCATGGATATGTCTGCCAACAGATGTACACAGGCTGATTCCAGAATTAAGAACAGCACAAGAATAGAGATCTATGTCAGTTTATTGTTTTAAATGAATTGTTAGTCTGTACTGTCTTTCATTGTTTTTATATGTGTTATAAGAAAGTATTAGGTTAATTAAAATAAAAATTTAAATCAAGTTTGCACATATGGCAGAATGAGATGCACTAATGTAGCAGTGAGGAACATGCAATGTTATGTTGGGTGTATACAATTATATAGTAACTCCAATCATTTTACAGAAGAAAAAACAATAGATTTATTCTTTGTTGCTTCTGAGGTTGATTTAAAATCTTTGATTTAATTCATGAGAATGAGATTTTAATATCATGACTGATAATGGATTACTGTATATTGTAACGCCTGGACATACACATGGTTTGGATATACTGAAGACAAAAGGAATAATATATGGGAATGGATAAGGCTAATTTACCCCTATCCACAGCTACGCCTACTCCTAAAGTAACATCGCGTACATCCTTACTATGCCCTTTTACTGTAGAATTTCCCGAATCCTAATGACCAATTCCACTACATGGTGTGACTTGTTTAAGCCTAAGATAAATTGGCTGATCAGGCTACCTGTATTAACAATGTCATCAACGATGAGTTAGTATCTGTGGAGAAGTATCACTTCAGGTTGTCCCAAATTTTCTTTTAACTTAAGTTTTAGTACATAGTAAGGCCCATGCCCAACAACTATATGCAGCCTTGTATAGCAGGCCACATGACATCTATTTGTACCAAGCAAGGCCTGCCGGACTCCTCATTCCTGTCTAACATTGTTGTCTCCTGCATAAGTGTAGATGGCTCTCCTTGGAGTAGCCTGTTAACTAAGCCTTGCTTTGTGGTTACCTTCACCTGTCCAATTAATCTGCTAGGTGCAGATGTCCTTCCCCCACTTGCAGGCCCCTATCACCTTATTATTTCTTTTGTTCCACACAGTGAAACCTGACCAAGAGGCAAAGGTCCTAGCTAGTTCCCCCACTACCTTTACCTGAATTATACAGGCCCCAAAGCCTGTCCAAGCTCTTACTATTCCCTAACAGGTTAAGGCTCTGGTGTCGAATGGTGCCCTGGTTACCTGAGACTTTCCATGCAATATCCCACCTCTCCTTGTGATGGACGAATTCTGTGCAGGATAATGTCACCCTGCAGGGATACTCTATTTACCTGGCCACTCTTCTGCCACTTCCCAAGGGGGGAAATGATAAGACACTGACTATTATTTTTTTTTTAGCATTTTTCTTATGATCTGTTCCGGATTTGCTGTCACTACAGTGGACCAGGTATCTCACCTCAACAATGTCTGCACAAGAAGTTGAGCTATAGGCTCCCATCACAGCATGCAAGATCTCTGAAGGAAGACTGATCTCGGAGAAAGCATGTGGCAACTCTCTGGCTGACTAAGTTGTTCAATAAGTTGTAAGTGCACTAAGGAAAGTGGACAGAAAAGTGTCTACTGAAGAAACTCCCATATTCACCATGTAAGATCCTACCCACTGACCCTGGAAAGAAAGAAAAAACAAACAAACCACAAGCTGGAAACAGAAAGGGGCAACTCTTAAAGACAGGCTGTACTTCAACAATCTCAAGTTCTACTTGCCCAAGAACATATACTCAGCAGTGGTCCAGTGGGCCTACGGAGCATCTGTCCAGAACCCTCATGAACTCTTTTGATCAATAAATACTCTGAAGTATCAGGAATTGCCTCTCTGACCAACAGTTACTGTAAATCTTGTGCCATTTGTGCCAAGGGCAACTCAGGAAGAATGGAGCCAAAGCATCTAGCCAAACCTCATTATCTCTTCCAGAGGAGTCAAGTCGACTACATCCAGAATGCCAAAGAATGGCTGATTCAACTATGCACTAATTATAGCAGACATGTTTTCAGGATGGCCAGAGGCCTATCCAGCCACCAAAGTGATAACCAAGACCACATGCTGAGTAGTGCACCGTGAAAGTTACAGAGATCACCCCGTGGATTCATCATTCCAGAATCAAGCCTGCCTCTGCAACATGTGAAGTAGCATTTGTTGATCTTGACAACCCTTTTTGAAACTCCATTCTTAGAGAACAAAGATGCTTGTTGAAATAAATAAATAAATAAATATCAACAAGTGGGTGTTTTGATGGCCATAATAATGCCTGACCACCTGCCATCGATGGAAAGCCGAATACCCCAAAAGGGGACCTCATGAAACTAAAGAGAAACAGACATACTCCTTACCCTGCAGCCCTCATGTCTGAGGTGCCTACGCACAGTCAAAGCTTCTTCAGGATCATCTGCTTATCTTGAGTTTGTGGTGATATTAATATTGAATGTTTAAATGATCTGAATCTGCCAGTACTAGGGTAGCATGAGGCAAGATTTCTAAGATAAGTAAATGTGCCCTAGCCTAGGTTATTATGTCCATACACATAACACATGACAATCCCCAAGGTACTCTTGACACACCTCATTCATGCTTCAGGACAAAAAGGAGTACCCCTATAAAGGGTGGTTTTACCCACACATATATATATATATGTATATTAATGCCATAGGGGTGTCAAGGGGGGTACCAAATGATTTTAAGGTAAGAAACTAAGTTTGAATCTATTCTCCCAAATCTGAATTGGAAGGGAAGAGGTTTATACAATAAACAGGAGACCTTTTTCTTACAGGACATGTATGACTCAGCTGAATGGGTAGGTGCCACGCACATGACTGTTAATCCCCTCAAACCACACATTAGGACTTTAAAAGACATGGTAGTCATCCCATATTTGAGGATAAGAGGGCTGTAGAGACAGGTTTCTCTGACACTAACTTGTGACTTGAATGGATGAAATACAATGCTACTAAACATAACAAGTCTAACTGCTATGTCTGCAGAGGAGCGAGGCCTCACCCAGGTACAGTATCCCTGAACCTTCCTCCGGATATGAAGTATGCGTTTTAAGTCTCTACACTGTATTTAAACCTAAGCGGTCAGCATGTGAGTCATGGAAACTTAATACCCAATCATTACTAAAAATATTATGCCCAAACGAAGGCATTACTATATATCCTGGGAACTATACTTGTTATGGGATATATGGTGGGATAGGGCGGTTACAAGCTACCTCTCAGATGACCTTCCAGAATAGAATAAGCTTTAAAATGATTTTGGCAGAAAAAGGGAGAGTATGTAAAATACTCCCAGACACCATAACATGCTGTACCTATATTCCAGACAATACAGGCCCTAATGGTAAGGTAACGTTGGCAATAGAAAAGTTAAAGAGTTTGTCCAATGAGCTGAAACGAAATTCTGGGGCCGCAGATCCATGGGAAAGATGGTTTGGATGGATGACTGGATGGCAAGGTGCTCTGGCCCAAATGGTGTTGCCATTTTAATAACGATAATCATCCTCGCTCTTCTTGTTTGTTGTGTGTTACCCTGTCTTAAGAAATGCCTACAAAAGACAGTTGATCAGACAATCGACCAGACCACCCCGACCTTCCTTCACCAAGACATTGACGACATCGACCTTGATACACCACATACACCCTTACAGTCCCACCGCACTAAATCAACAGCTACTTCCTCTTAAGGACATTTAGGGATAGCGTCTGTCTCTATGGGCAGAAGTCTGCCGCGGGAGAAGTAGTGGACAAGCTGCTATGGGGTACCCGCGCAGTGAAGTGTTCGAGGCCTGTTCAGACAGATGTGCAAGATAGCCTTTTGTTATTTTTCTATAGGGACAGTATTAGAATGAGAGATAGTAGTTTTAGTAAAATTGCCATTTTAAGGGGGGACTGTTATGGACAGATGAATTAAAATAAAATGGCTATTTACTAATGTCTATTTATTCTGTGTTCACTATGTTAAAACTGGCTGCTAGAGTAAATATTCCCTTCGCCCCCTACAATGTGTTCAGTTGCTGTTTACTATGTAAATTCTTCATCCTGATAAGCATCCCCCTTCAAATCAAGCAAACCTTGTGTAAACAAAATTCCTGTGTTAACAGCTCCCTTTACTAACTCCTCCCCCACTACCTTTGTGCCAGTTAAACAGCTATATGCCACGTATAGCTAAATGGAGGATCATTGGTTTAGAACTGATAGATACCACTCACTCCCCCTCCCATCGTGTATCCAAAAGTCTGTAATGATGACACTACATTCTGTAGGGAGGTTTAAACAAGAGCCCCCTTTCTCTGTTAACCAATTGGTGAATGTATACTGTATGTTTAAACTGTGACGTATTTTTGCTTTAAGAAGGAGCCCCCACTCCGGGGAATAAAGCATTCCTGAGTTTTTCACTGATCAGAAACTTTGTCTCCGGTGTGAATTACTTCTAGGGAAAGCGTGCACGCATTAATCAATCAATTTGGAAGGTGTAGATAGACAAATTATCAAAGTTTTCTTTGGTCCAAATCAGTTCCCTCCCAGGGCCCAAGAGCCGGAGAGAGATACATTCATGTGCAGCGGACCCTACTTAGCTTACAAACCGCAGCATGATACCTAGCTCCATACCCAGCAGAACCATGAACTGTCTCCTGCGGTATTGGTTGAAGTCTGGACATCCAGCTTTCACAGAGACTCTGCCATCACCATTGCAGGACTTTCCATGTACTCTCTTTCACCTCCGAATGGAGTTGAATACCCAGTGGCTCCAAAGCAAGCCTGATCTTAGCTAGCATGTTGCATCACACTCCTCACCATGCTTAATGTTTATGTATACACACATCCAGCAAAGTTCAGCTAACATGTTTCACACTACATATACCTTGAATGCCGTCAGTTACCATAACCAGACCTTAGCTAGCTATCTCTTGCTTCTGCTATTGGGGCAATGCAAGACCGATTGCTATCTGTGCACAACAAAAAAAAATATTTAAAAAAAACAATTGCTCAAAATTGCACTAGCTATATAATATAATGTGGAGTCTTACAAATGATTTATAATGTGAAGAAACTTATATCTTCGTTATATGTCCTGTGATATTTGTTTTTTACAATTGTTTATATTTTTTACAAAACTACAAAAGAAGACTTTATAAAAAGTACCTCAAAATAGATGATGTTATTCATTTTTGTATTTTTTTGTGTGAAAATGCCTTACCTAGCAAGTGAATTAAATAATTAACACAGTTTTGTATGTGGCACTGACAGAACATGACCACTTCAGTGATTTGAAGTAATAACTGGGCTTGGAGCTTTTCACTAAGAAATACTATACATAAAGACCTAATGCACTTTGCTGTCAGAGGTGTAACTCTGCAAGTAGGGAGAAAGGGAAGGCAGGCAGAGAAAAGTTTCCCTTGCAGGCACACTGCACAGCACAGCTATTTGCTGCGCATCCGCACTAGCCTCCCATTGCTTCCTTATGGGGAACAACTGGGTTAGCAGAGATAATCAGGATGTCTACAGCGAGGCTGACACGCCAGGAGAGCAAAAGGTGAATAAAGGTGTGGTGTGGGGTTTTTAAAAAAAAATAAAAAAATGTATTTTTGGTGTAGGGAGGGGTTAACACGCTAGCGATAGTAATATGTTTGTAATCCTAATACAATAGTACTCCTTTAAGTTTTGTCCCTTGTGTTTTTTTTTATTTTATTTTTTTATTATTACATTTTATTTATTTTGGCTGGAGTAGAGCAGGAGCACGCACAGGAAAGGAGAGGGAGAATGTAACCTCACGCATGGCGCTGGGGGAACCAAAATTAAACCCCTGCCCTCCCCTTCCCCCTTACCACAACTATCCTACCACCCCCTACCTCTTTCACCCTCTGTTCCCTTGAACTCTTTCAGAACTTATACACTCACACATAACGCTCCTTCCCTCCCCCCCCCTTTTTTTTTCTCCAAGAGCACAACACATGGGATAGAATGCGCCTGACTCAAGGACCAAATGATCCAGGTCTAATTGAACAACAGTACGGGCAGGAACACTGTACAGAACATCTGACCCGCAGAAAAGGGCTGTCGCGCTATAGCCCACTGGCTCCACTGGCCCAAGAGCCCAAAAGACATCCAACGGACGCTACAGTTTTACCCACGACAGAACCTGACAGTCAACTACTGACTAGACGAGGACAGGTGCCAATATTCCAAAACGGATACCCCCTGAATAAGACACTAAGTCACATAAGCTATAAAAATAAAAATAATCCTTGACGCCAACCTCAGCTACAACTCCGAACATCACCTTAGCTAAGACCCTATCGATCAAAACAAGGTCTAGGTCCCGAACAAACTACCCACAAACCAGTGGCTAACAGGGTAGCATGGATAGATCAATGTGGCCTAAAGGTACAAGCACGCATTTCCTAACACAACATCCACAGAAACCGTACATCCATGGCCTTTGGGAGAGACAAACCAGACAGAACAAATAGAAAGACAAAGTTATTCTGTTTATTTCTTATCATGTAACACATCTGGTACTGGATGTGTCATTTGAATATGTTATGATTTTATTCTCTTATATGAGCCTCGGAAACAATTGTTAAAGACATCGAGGCACTATTGGTTAACACGTTCTTTATAAACATGTACAAAAATATAAAAATAAAGATTGTCAAAAAAAAAGAATGTTAAAGGGAAAAAAAAAAGAAAAAGACCTGTCCTAGACACACCTGTTTTGGGTCGAATAGCGAATCCCTCAAATAAGCATAACATTACAATGTTAGAACAATAAGGTAATCAAGGAAATGAATAATATCTCAACTTGGCCCTAGAGGACCCATTCACTTGAACCTTATTCTTCCCTCTTACTATAGGGAGGTGAAGTAAATACGGATATCTGATAACTCCTAGAGATATTCTTATGTTATTTATGTGGACATTAATTTCCATAGATATATGTGTTGTAATTGATCTGGGACATCCAGCACCATTTAAAATTAGACTATATAATTATTTAGATTGGATTAAAGCAGTGCAGACAGTGATTTGGGAGTATCACCTCCCCATCTCACCCATATTTACTATCCATTTTGCTATAACATATTCATCTCCCAGTGTCTCACTAAGCTACTATCCTCTACAATGTGTCTCATGTCCTCAAACCTTCACCACCCACCCCTTCCGTCCCCCCCTGATTTATCATATCAGGATTTAGCAATGCGGCTATAGAGGAGGAGGAGGAGGTGGGTGCAGGGGGACATCAGGAGAGGAGGGGGGGCAGAGAGAAGGATAAAAGGCAAAATCAGAGGGGAAATGAGGACAATTCACCACCCTGCTCGCCTTTCCTTCCCCTGGCACCCAGGCTGATCCTCCCATATGTTGGGCCATATATGTCATCCAGGGCACCCATCAACCCTTATGTTTTTCCTGAGTTCCGATTAAGTAAGCCTGTGTTGCTTCTGCAGTTTGAATTTCTTCCACTCGTTCTATCTATTGTAATCAGTGAAGGCTCTATTCTTTCAAGGTATAAGATTTTGCAGCATTTATCAGATGTCCAAGTAACATTTTTTATATTTAGTGATGGTTAGAGGTGTAGAGTGTAATAAAACATGATCTATGTCAAGCGGTGGTGTTTCGCCTATAATTTTACTAACCTCAGATCTAATCATGTCCCAAGAAGGTTGAATGTAGGTGCAGTCCCACCATATATGGCGTATAAATCCTACTGCTCCATTACATCTCCAGCAAGTGTCCAATGCTGAAGGAAAAATTCAATTAAGGAGTTCAGGGGTTCTATACCAGAAAAACAGAAGTTTATAATTAACTTCTTGGTAGTTCGAACTAATTGAGCTCTTATGGTGAAGAATCAATATTTTTCCCCATTGGGCATCTGATATAGATTTTCCTAGTAGGTACTCCCATAGTCTTTTAAAAGTATGATTATGATATAGCCCTCCAACTAGTAATCGTTGGTACATCTACGTTGCAATTGGGTATATCGATAAACTTGTTTTCCAGATGGTGTATCATCCCCAGTGAGTTCCTGTAGGGTCTTTAAACCAAAATCTCCCATCACGGTTTTCAAAGGGATATAATCTGCTGTTCCAATAAAGTCCCATGCACTGGTAGGGAGACCTTCACCTAATATTGGATTATAGACATGTGCAATTCGTTTCGTTCTGAATGTCAATTTCGGGTATTTCGGACATTCAGAGACTTCTGAAGTTCCGAAACTGCTGATTTTCCAAAGTGTCGAAATGCTGTATTGTCGAAGTACTAATATACCTACCCAGTGGAAGAATGTTACACTATACCAGTTTAAATAAAAAGTATACAAACATAGCCAGAATTCAGCTGTAAGCATTTGCAACACTTACATTTTATATGAATGTGTGTTACTTGATTGTTGTAAGTTACTTAGCCAGTCAATGGAATGAATAAGTAGATAACTCCCTAATTCCCACGGTATTAGGGAGATATCTACTAAAAGGCTGAAAGACCTAAATTGGTCTTTCAGCCAAATTTACTAATACTAAGTAAGGATTACTTAGTATTAGTAAATTATGCCCCTATTCGCTATATCGCGAGTAGGGGCATGTCTAGTAAACCAGACGCGGAAAAAGTAATCCATCTTCACCCATGGAGGGCACTGTGCCATCTGAGCTCCTCAGGGCGGGGGAAGACTTATAAAGCCTTGCCCTGCCCTGCCCTGCAATTAGGCTCAGAGCACTTTGGTTGGTTTAAGCCAACCAACCAGAGTGCTCTGACAGGTAAATGAAGAGATGCTGTGTAATTTGACTCATAACACTGATTGGTTACTTTCAATCAACCAGAGTTATGAGTCAAATTACACAGCGTGGGAAAATCCAAAAGAACTTTCCCACGCTGTGTAAAATGACACAGAGCACTCTGATTGGTGGATTTCAAGCTAACCAATCAGAGTGCTGTGACAGGTAAATGTAGAGACTTACCTATCAGTCTCTTCATTTACCTGTCCGAGCACTCTGATTGGATGGCTTTAACCAACCAACCAGTTTGCTCTGAGCCTAACTGCAGGCGGGGCAAGACTTTATAAGCTTTCCCCCGCCCTGCAGAG